ACTTTCCCCCGGCGGGACAGAGTGGCCCTTTGTGCGGGCTCTGGCTTTGCGGAGTTGAGCCGGCGCCTTCTCCGGCCGGACCGTCCTGGCCCCCCTTCTTGGAATCGGGCGTCGGATCAACAGTGCCGGAGCCCAGTCCCCAGCCCCCCGGCGTCCAGCGCCCGCCCGGCAGCATCCCCAGCCCTGGCCGGTCCCTCCCCCGGGCTCCCCGTGACCCCCGTAGTCACCTGAGCTGGGACCGAGCCAACGGGGATTGGCCTTTTGGAAGCTGGGGAGGCTGGGGGTGTCTGTGCGATTGGAGCTGTGACAGGCGCCCAGCTGGTCCCACAGCGGGTCCTTGACAGCAGCTCAGGGACCTGGGCAGTGGGGGCCCCAAGCAGGGGTGGCCAGCGCGGCTCAGAGCCCCTCTGGCCCCGGAAGTCGCTCTGCGGGACAGGGAGGGAAGCAGAGGTGGCCGGGCCTTTCCGAGCAGCCCCGCGGAGTTATCCCCGCTGCAGCTCACTTCCCTGGGGGCCCCCAGCCCTGGCCCCCCTGCGGCCCTGTGCCGCTGCTTTGAGGAAGAAGAGAAAGCAAACCAGAAACCAGAAGCTTTGGAAAAGACCCCCCACCCCCGGCCCCCTGCAGTGCCCTGCAGGGAGGGGGAGCCGCTCCCCTCCCAGGGGAGAGCTTTGAGGGGCTCCTGGCTCCTTCGCTGCTAACTTTCCTGGGGAGAGAGTTGTGTGGAGCCGCCCGCCCTTGCCCCCCGCCGGCCTCCGCTGATGGTTGATGGCCGCGTCCGTCCTCCCGTGGAGTTCTCTGCACACCCCCCCCAGTGGCTCAGGCCTCTGTTCTTTCTTCTGCTGAGATGGGCGTCTGGGTCCCGAGGGCTCAGTCTGTCTCGGGGGGCTCTGGGGCAGTGCGGGGGGCACTCCCCCGGTGGGAACGCATCCTGTGCAGCTCTGACCCTCCGCTCAGCCAAAGCCCCACGCAGGCAAGGTCGCCCAGACCTTGGGACAGCTCTGGCTGGAGGGAGCATGGCGGTGACCTGCGGGGGTCACGGCGGGTCCCCTCAGCCTTTCGCAGCGGGCGGTTTGGGTCTCGGCCCTCGGCAGGTGGCCGTGGACGCCCGGGAGGCTGACGCGGGGCCCCGCGCCCTCTCTCCCGCAGATGCGCCCGCTGGGGCCGCTCCCGCGTTGAGCCTGAGGCGCGCCCGCGAGTGCCCGCTGCCATGTCGCAGATGCTGCACATCGAGATCCCCAACTTCGGGAACACCGTGCTGGGCTGCCTCAACGAGCAGCGCCTGCTGGGCCTCTACTGCGATGTGTCCATCGTGGTCAAGGGCCAGGCCTTCAAGGCGCACCGGGCCGTGCTGGCCGCCAGCAGCCTCTACTTCCGCGACCTCTTCAGCAGCAACAGCAAGAGCGCCTTCGAGCTGCCGGGCTCGGTGCCGCCCGCCTGCTTCCAGCAGATCCTGTCCTTCTGCTACACGGGCCGGCTGAGCATGGCGGCCAGCGAGCAGCTCGTGGTCATGTACACGGCCGGCTTCCTGCAGATCCAGCACATTGTGGAGCGGGGCGCCGACCCCATGTTCAAGGTGAGCCCGCCCCACTGCGACTCGCAGACCGCCGTGACGGAGGACGCCGGCTCCGCCCCGCAGAGCCCGTGCACCCAGCTGCAGCCGGCCGCCGCCCCCGCGCCCCCCTACGCCATGTCCCCCTCCGTGCCCATCCCGCTGCTGACCCGCGTGAAGCACGAAG